AAATGAGTGAAAATAAAAAAGAGGATTTTTTGAACAGATTCAGTGAAAGAATTAACCCCTAACGCCCTAAAAAGAGGTTGGGCAAATTATGTCTTGTGTGCTAAATCCAGCCAGCAATCTACTTTTTAATTTAATGGCTCACAAGATAAGAATACTTTTTATATTTTTAAATGGTTACATTTCAGATAGATATATAAATACCTATACCATAACCTTGATTTTGCCTCCCAACCTACAACACCCAAAATATTTTACTATCTGGCCCTTTAAGAAAAAGTTCACTGACCCTTGTCCTAGACAATCACTGTATGTTATCTATTAACTTCTCTCATGTATCTAGAATGGTACTCGTTAAGATGAGCCTTGGAAGATGTGAGAAAATAGTTACTCAAACCATTTTCTGATTCTGTGGTTCACATGAGGAATTCTGATTGAGAAGAACAGAAAATCACTCTAGGTGACCTTCCACTCAACTAGCTGGAACCCCCAAATGATAATACAAACAGAAGGAAGAAAATCATTAAAGAAATTATTCACACAATGTCCAGAGTTGAAGAGAAACAGTATTCATTAGACTGAAATGCTTACTGATATGGTTTGGCTGTGTCCCTACCCACATCTCACAGGAATTATAATAATCCACATGTGTCAAGGGCAGGGCCAGGTGGAGATAACTGAATCACTGGGGTGGTTTCCCCCACACTGCTCTCCTGGTAATGAATAAGTCTCATGAGATCTGATGGTTTTAAAAATGGGAGTTCCCCCACATACACTCTCTTGCCTGCTACCATGTATGATATGCCTTTGCTTCTCCTTTGCCTTCTGCCATGATTATGAGGCCTCCCCAGCCATGTGAAACTGTGAGTCCATTAAACCTCTTTCCTTTATAAATTATCCAGTCTTGGGTATGTCTTTACTAGCAGCATCAGAATGGACTAATCCACTTACCAAAGGCCTAACACAATGGATTTTTAAAACTGTACATACAAGGCATATTACTGTGAAATTTTAAAACACTGGTATAAAAATAATTATTAAAAATTTTCAGAGAAAGAGAAGAGGGAGAAAAAAGGAACAAGTATCATATCTTTCAACAGAAATACAAAATACAATTGTAAAAGATGATAAAGCAATGTCTTCAAATTTCTGAGGAAAAATTATGTTTACACAAGAATCCTATGAATGGCCAAATGTAAGTTGGCTATTTATTCATCTATCATAGTTGGAAATCGACTTGGAACATGCATGCATGAGCTTTTTAATAATATGGGAAATATGATCAGAGTAACAAACAGAAACAGTTAAAAAGTGGGTAGCAGGAACAGAAGGGAGGACAAAGCACTAGAATTTGTTGTGTTACATTATAAGCCCTTTTATACTATCTCATTTTAAAACTATGTGCAAATTCTTTCAAAAGATTTTTTAAATTTGTTATAGAAATAAAACTATGATCACAAAAAATAGTTTATATATGACGATATTTTAAGAAAAGGCAAAAGCAGAAAAAAAGTAAAAATATCAGCGATAGACTTTTTGAAAAAAAGGATAACTATATCAGTCTATAAATGCATAAAACAACAGAGGAAAAAAGTTGCCAAAAGAGTTTCCAATTTTCCAAAAAGAACAAAGGTGTTGATAAGTATATGATTCTATTGTGTTCATAAAGAACCTGAAGCAATATTCCTGAACGTTCTTCCAGTGGTTGTGGGAACAAATAATACAGGTACATCTTTAAAATAGCTTTACTAGCTATAATGCACATAGCATACACTCTTCCCTTTGAAGTACACAATTCAGTGGTTTCCAATATATTCAGAAAATGTGCAACCATCACCACAATTTTAGCACATTTTTACAATTACAAAATGAAACCTTGTCTTTTAACAGATACTCTTCATTTTCCCTCAACTTTCCCAGGAAACCACTAATCTACTTTCTGTCTCCATAGATTTGCTTATTCTGGACATTTCACGTAAATGGAACCATACAATATATGGTCTTTTGTAACTGGCTTCTGATATGGTTTGACTGTGTCCCTACCCAAATCTCATCTTGAATTGTAGTTCCCATAATCCCTATGTGTACTGGAAGGGACCTGGTGGGAGGTAATTGAATCATGGTGGTGGCTACCTTCATGCTGTTCTCATGATAGTGAGTGAGTTCTCATAAGATCTGATGGCTTTACCCGCATTGGCAAGACAACCCTAAGCCGAAAGAACAAAGCTGGAGGCATCACGCTACCTGACTTCAAACTATACTACAAGGCTACAGTAACCAAAACAGTATGGTGCTGGTACCAAAACAGAGATATAGACCAATGGAACAGAATAGAGTACTCGGAAATAATACCACACATCTACAACCATCCGATCTTTGACAAACCTGAGAAAAACAAGAAATGGGGAAAGGATTCCCTATTTAATAAATGGTGCTGGGAAAACTGGCTAGCCATATGTAGAAAGCTGAAACTGGATCACTTCCTTACACCTTATACAAAAAGTAATTCAAGATGGATGAAAGACTTAAATGTTAAACTTAAAACCATAAAAACCCTAGAAGAAAACCCAGGCAATACCATTGAGGTCATAGGCATGGGCAAGGACTTCATGACTAAAACACCAAAAGCAATGGCAACAAAAGCCAAAATTGACAAATGGGGTCTAATTAAACGAAAGAGCTTCTGTACAGCAAAAGAAACAACCATCAGAGTGAACAGGCAACCTACAGAATGGGAGAAAATTTTTATAATCTATCCATCTGACAAAGGGCTAATATTCAGAATCTACAAAGAACTTAAAAACAAATGTACAAGAAAAAAAAATCAAACAACCCCATCAAAAAGTAGGCAAAGGATATGAACAGATATTTCTCAAAAGAAGACATTTCTGCAGCCAACAGACACATGAAAAAATGCTCATCATCACTGGCCATCAGAGAAATGCAAATCAAAATCCGAATGAGATACCATCTCACACCAGTTAGAATGGCAATCATTAAAAAGTCAGGAAACAACAGGTGCTGGAGAGGATGTGGAGAAACAGGAACGCTTTTACAATGTTGGTGGGACTGTAAACTAGTTCAACCATTGTGGAAGACAGTGTGGCAATTCCTCAAGTATCTAGAACTAGAAATACCATCTGACCCAGCCATCCCATTATGGGCATATACCCAAAGGATTATAAATCATGCTGCTATAAAGATACATGCACATGTATGTTTACTGTGGTACTATTCACAATAGCAAAGACTTGGAACCAACCCAAATGTCCATCAATGATAGACTGGATTAAGAAAATGTGGCACATATACATCATGGAATACTATGCAGCCATAAAAAAGGAGGAGTTCATGTCCTTTGTAGAGACATGGATAAAGCTGGAAACCATCATTCTGAGCAAACTATCGCAAGGACAGAAAACCAAACACACTGCATGTTCTCACTCATAGGTGGGAACTGAATAATGAGAACACTTGGACACAGGATGGAGAACATCACACACTGGGGCCTGTCATGGGGTGGGGGGAGTGGGGAGGGATAGCATTAGGAGATATACTTAGTGTAAATGAGTTAATGGGTGCAGCACACCAACATGGCACATGTATACAAATGTAACAAACCTACACGTTGTGCACATGTACCCTAGAACTTAAAGTATATATATAAAAAAAGATCTGATGGCTTTATAAGGTGTTTTTCACCTTTTTCTTGACACTTCTACTTGCTGCTGCCATGTGAAGAGGGATGTGTTTGCTTCCTCTTCTGCCATGATTGTAAGTTTTTCTTTTGTTTGTTTGTTTTTGAGATGGAGTCCTGCTCTGTCTCCCAGGCTGGAGTGCAGTTGCGCCATCTCGGCTCACTGCAAGCTCCGCCTCCCGGGTTCACGCCATTCTCCTGTTTCAGCCTCCCGAGTAGCTGGGACTACAGGCGTCCGCTACTACGCCCGGCTAATTTTTTGTATTTTCAGTAGAGACGGGGTTTCACCGCATTAGCCAGCATGGTCTCGATCTCCCGACCTCGTGATCCACCCGCCTCGGCCTCCCAAACTGCTGGAATTACAGGCATGAGCCACTGCGCCCGGCCCCATGATTAAGTTTTTTGAGGCCTTCCCAGCCATGCTCAACTGTGAGTCAACTAAAACTTTTTCCTTTATAAATGACTCAGTCTTGGCTGGAGGCAGTGGCTCATGCCTGTAATCCCAGCACTTTGGGAGGCTGAGGCAGGCAGATCACCTGAGGTCAGGAGTTCGAGACCATTCTGGCCAACATGGTGAAACCCCGTCTCTACTAAAAATACAAAATTAGCTGGATGTGGTGGCACGCACCTGTAATCCCAGCTTCTTGGGAGGCTGAGACAAGAGAATTGCTTGAACCCAGGAGGCAGAAGTTACAGTGAGCCAAAATTGCGCCACTACACTCCAGCCTGGGCAACAAGAGCGAAACTCCATTTCAAAATAATGATAATAATGATAATTAAAAATAAATAAATTACCCAGTCTGAGGCATACCTTATGAGCAGTGTGAGAATGGGCTAATACAGCTTCTTTAACTTATAATGTTTTCAAGGTTCATCCACGCTGTAACTTGTATCAGTACTTCATTCCTTTTTATTGATGAATAATATTTCATTATATGTGTATATCTCATTTTGTTATCAGTTGATGGACATTTGTGCTGTTTCTAATTTTTGACTATTATGAATAATGCTGCTATGAACATTGGTGCACAAGTTTTCTGTGCATATGTTTTAAGAACACTGTAAAATAAAAAGTGTAAAAAATTAAATGAATTAGACAAGTATTTTCATAAGCATAAAACAATATATGAATAGAAAGTATTCCAGCATTTTAATTTAAATGTTTTATGTCTTTCCACTTTACTTCTTTATGCAAATAATTATCTCTAATCAACAAATATAAAAATAAATTGTAAATATATGGCCACAGAGAAAAAACCAAAACAGTAAAAAAGGATATATAGTGAATTATAAATCTCTGTCTTACCTTTGTCCCACCCCCAGAGCAAATACTGTAAACAGTTTCTTAGGTCCTTTCGGAATTATTTTCTAAAAATACTAGCATATAAGAAAGCATTTAAAAATTTTTCTGGTTTTACACAAATAGTATATTCCTATATACAATTTTCTGCATTTTTTTTTTTTTTTTTTTTGAGATGGAGTTTCACTCTATTGCCCAGGCTGGAGTGCAGTGGCACAGTATCGGCTCACTGCAACCTCTGCCACCCGGGTTTAACCGATTCTCCTGCCTCAGCCTCCCAAGTAGCTGTGATTATAGGCGCCCACCACCACGCCTGGCTAATTTTGTATTTTTAGTAGAGACGGAGTTTCACCATGTTGGCCAGACTGGTCTTGAACTCCTGGCCTCAGGTGATCCACTCGCCTCAGCCTCCCAAAGTGGTGGGATTACAGACATGAGCCACTGTGCCTGGCCTTGTTCTGCATTTTTCTTCCTTCCTTTAATATAATTTGAAATGAATTACCTATAAAAACATATAAACCTGCCTCTTTTTAAACAGCAGATTAGGATTTCATTGTATGAATATATCATAATGTACTTACTGCTCCACTGATGGGGTCTCCTGCCTTCTTCCTAGCTAAAAAAATTATGATTTTATTCAAATATTGGGTGGCTATGTACGCCAGGGATAAACAGCAACTCCCCTCTCCCAGGGGCTGAATTTTGATTCCTCTAAGCCTTAGCGTCACACCATTTTCCTCACCAACAATGGGGTAGGAAATATGCACATTACACAATTCTGGCCCAAGGGGAAAAGATCCAGTCTTCTGGAGGGTCTTCTGGAAAAAGGTTCTTCACTTTTTTAAAGAGATTCTCAGCAAAGGCCGGCCGCGGTGGCTCACGCCTGTAATCCCAGCACTTCGGGAGGCCGAGGCGGGCAGATCATGAGGTCAGGAGATCAAGATCATCCTGGCTAACATGGTGAAACCCTGTCTCTACTAAAACTACAAAAAGTTAGCTGGGCGTGGTGGCGGGCGCCTGTAGTCCCAGCTACTTGGGAGGCTGAGGCAAGGGAGGCTGAGGCAAGAGAATTGTTTGAATCCGGGACGCAGAGGTTGCAGTGAGTCGAGATTGCGCCACTACACTCCAGCCTGGGTGACAGAGTGAGACTCTGTATAAAAAAAAAAAAAAAAAAAAAGAGAAAAAAAAGAGAGCGAGAGAGAGGTACTCAGCAAAAAGCTCTGCCTTTTCAGCCTCTGGACATCATCGTGTCTTTGGAACTGCTATAAGTATCTATGACCACAGAGAGCAAGCAAGCCAAGAGAATCCCACAGAAGCTGGGTCAAGCATGACTTCTTTCACCTGCTGCAATGACCAACCTTCTTCTATGCTTCTTATGATTACAGCTAACCAGTATGCTTATTGTGTAAGGCAGTTTTCGTTGTTACTTCGACTCTATAACTTGAAGCTGAAAGCATCCTAAACGATACACTTTGTCAGAGAGGTCCCTCCTAAACCTCCTAGACTAAGTGATCCCCCATCCCTGTGTTTACTCTCTGGTACCATTGTTTTCCCTTCCATAACGCTTAGCACACTGATAATAATTTTGAGTTACCTGTTCACACTGGTCCATACTAGACAGTAAGTTTCATTGAGGGTAGGGACTGTGGCCATCTCATTAACAAGCATAGCAAAATCCCTGAGAAATAGGTTAGAAAAATATCACACCAAATTTGTGCGCATATGTAGGTAAGTTTTTTTTTTTCCCCTATCCATAAAAATACAAAAGAAAAAAAAAAACCACATAGGAAATCCCAGAAGAGCATACTATCAGTGGTGGTTTTATAGAGATGAAATCATGGCTGATTTTCATTTCTCTTTATTAAAAAAAAAATCTATCTTGTATAAGTTACATTACTTCTGTAACATAATATAAACATACACTTACATATATATACATTATATACATCTAATATATTGAGTATGAATGCTTAAAATATACACAGAGCACCTGCAGAATGTAGGAAATGGGGTGAGGCTTTTTCAGATGCCCGTGCACAATTCTTATGCATAGAACAAATAACATGTGCAGTGTACCTAATGTGTTGTACATTTTTCCCTCTGAGCATATGAAGTGTAGATTTTAATTATAATTTGCTATTTTTTTCTTTTTTTTTTGAGACAGAATTTCACTCTTGTCACCCAGGCTGCAGCGCAATGGGGTAATCTCCGCTCACTGCAACCTCTGCCTCCCAAGTGATTCTCCTGCCTCAGCCTCTTGAGTAGTTGGGATTACAGGCATGCGCCATGATGTCCAGCTAATTTTTGTATTTTTAGCAGAGATGAGGTTTCACCATATTGGCCAGGCTGGTCTTCAACTCCTGACCTCGGGCAATCCACCCTCCTCGGCCTCCCAAAGCGCTGGGAATACAGGCATAAGTCACCACTCCTGGCCATAATTTGCTATTGAGCACTAACTTCAACTTGGAGTTTCCCATTTGTGTTAACTTGTCAATAAGTTTTTCACAAAAACTTTTTGTGAACTTCATGTTTTCTCAAAGACATAAAAGCTGCCTTCAACTTCTGACCACAATTTCCATTTGGCCGAATGCCCAAGAACCATGCTTTGCTGTAATATATTTATCTCAACAGACATTTTTATGGTGAATACAGTTGAAAACATTCTGGGCTATACACAAATGATGATATAAATGACAAAGAGGAAAACAGAGGATCACACATAATAATTTCCTTTGTACAGAAGATATTTCACCATATGTTTTCAGCTTTTTTCTAGGCATAATGAATTAGCATTGATCCACACAAATTTATCTAGTTATCCTTATAATAAATTAGCAAAATATCTAATTGAAACAAACATGCAGCCTATGATCCCAAAAATGAAGTAAATATTTGGTAAATGTTACTAGCTAAAACATTTAGTAGTAATGAAGTGATAGAAAATAAAATAAAAAATAAGGAAATGGCAGTAGAGTCCTAATCCTGATTTGTCAATTACAAATAGCCTTCTTTCAAGACAAAAATAAATGGAAAGATATCCCGTGTTCATGGATTGGAAGAACTTAATATTGTTAAAATGTCCATACTATCCAAAGTAATCTAGAAATTCAATGCTACACCCATCAAAATCCCAATGGTATTTTTTATAGAAATAGAACAAATAATCCTAAAATTCATACAGAACTACAAAAGACCCTGCATCTTGAGAAAGAAGAACAAAGCTAGAGGCATAATAGTTCCTGAATTCCAAATACATTACAAAGCTACAGAAATTAAAACAGTCTGATACAGGAATTAAGACAGACAGAGACCAATGAAATAGATAGATCAAAAAGAAACCCAAGAAATACAGTTCAATGATCTTCGACTCAGGTGCCAAGCATACACAAAGGGGAAAGGACAGTCTCTTCAACAAATGGTGGCCAGGCACAGTGGCTCACACCTGTAATCCTAGCACTTTGGGAGGCTCGGGTGGGAGGATCATGAAGTCAAGAGATCAAGACCATCCTGGCCAACGTGGTGAAACCCTGTCTCTACTAAAAATACAAAAATTAGCCGGGCGTGGTGGCGCGTGCCTGCAGTCCCAGCTATTCAGGAGGCTGAGGCAGGAGAATCATTTGAACCTGTGAGGTAGTGGTTGCAGTGAGCCAAGATGGTGCCACTGCATTCCAGCAAGACTCTGTCTCAAAACAAAACAAAACAAAAATCAAAACAAAAAAAACAACAAATGGCTTGGGAAAACTGGATATCCACATGCAAAAGAAAGAAATTGGACTCTTATCTTAAAACAAACACAAAAATCAGCTCAAAATGAATTAAAAACACAAACAAGACCTGAAACTGTAAAACCCCTAGAAGAAAACAGAGGAGAAGCTTCTTGACTTTGGTCTTGACAATGCCAATGATTTTTTGGGTGACACCAAAAACACAGGCAATGAAAGCAAAAACTGACAAGTGTGGCTACGTTTAACTAAAAAGCTATATGACAAAGGAAACAACAAAGTGAAAAGGCACCCTACAAAATGGGAAAACTATTTGCAGACCATGTATAAGATAAAAAGTTGATCTCCAAACTTCAAAATTACATACAAAAGGAACTAATATAACCCAATAGCAAAAACAAACAAGCAATAAAAACAACAAATAATATAAACTCCCAGGCACAGTGGCTTATGCCTATGATCTCAGCACTTTGGAGGGTAAGGAAGGAGGATCACTTGAATCCAGGAGTCTGAGACCAGCCTGGGTAAAACAGTGAGGCACTACAAAAAAAAAAAAAAAATTAAAAATGGCTGGGCGTGGTGGTGTGCACCTGTGTTTGCAGCTACTAGGGAGGCTGAGGTGGGGGGTCACTTCAGCCTAGAAGGCTGAGGCTGCAGTGAGCCATGATTGTGCCACTGCACTCCAACCAGGTAACAGAGTGAGACCCTGTCTCAAAAAACAAAACAAAACAAAACAAAACAAAACAAAACAAAACAAAAATGGGGGCAGTTTCCCCCATGCTGTTCTCATGACAATGAGTGAGTTCTCCGGAGATCTGACAGTTTTACAAAGGGTTCTGCCCCCTTCACTTTCTCTTCTCTCTCCTACCACCTTGTGGAGAAGATGCCTGCTTCCCGTTCATCTTCTGCCATGACTGTAAGTTTCCTGAGGCCTCCCCAGCCATGTGGAACTGTGAGTCAATTAAACCTCCTTTGTTTATAAATCACCCAGTCTCAGGTAGTATCTTTATCACAGTGTGAAAACGGACTAATACAAAGAAAGAACCCAATTTAAAAAATGAACTAAAGACTTGAGTAGACATTTCTCCAAAGACAAATAGCCTACCCTTTATGTAAAAAGGTGCTCACAAATCACTAATCATCAGACAGATGCAAATCAAAACCACACCTGTTAGGATGACTATTACAAAAATTTTTAGATCTTTTTAGGTAACAAGTTTTGGTGAAGATGTGGAGAAATTGGAATCCCCGCACACTATTGGTAGCAATGTAAAATGGTCCAGCCTCTATAGAAAACAGTATAAAGGTTCCCCATAAAATTAAAACATAGAACTACCGGTCATCTA